TTCTTTAAATTCACGAGAGATCAACTATTCCTGAACAAGCGTCCGCTCAGCTCGCAGTAACAGAACATTTCGAGCCTCCTTCGTCATCTACTTTGTTATGACGAAAGGAAGCAACTATGGGCTACGACCGTCAGCTAAAAAAGATGTTGTGACACTCGACTTTCACTAAACAGCACGTCATATTTTAATAAGCTGTATTGGTCCTTACAGCGCAAGTATAGAACAGCTGTAGAAACAGCAGACATGGAAAATCAGAAACGTTTTAATTATGCAAACAACTCAAAGTGATGATATGAATAAATACAACAACACATTTCAATCCGATGCTTGAGCATTTCGACAATGCATCAGTGATTATAAAGAAAACTGAAAAATGCATAAAATACGGTTTAAAAAGATATTGTGACACTCGACTTTCACTAAACAGCACGTCATATTTTAATAAGCTGTATTGGTCCTTACAGCGAAAGTATAGAAAAGCTGTAGAAACAGCAGACATGGAAAATCAGAAACGTTTTAATTATGCAAACAACTCAAAGTGATGATATGAATAAATACAACAACACATTTCAATCCGATGCTTGAGCATTTCGACAATGCATCAGTGATTATAAAGAAAACTGAAAAATGCATAAAATACGGTTTATTTATACAATAGCGTCAGCAAACAAGTGTATCAATCGGGTGACTGACCAATAATAAAGTTTAGGCTCGTGCCTCATGGGGCTTCTTCAGCGTGGACAGGGATTTCCAGACAAAATCAATCAGCTGCAGAAATCAACAGTGGTTAATCATCCGATGAATAAACCGTGTTTTTACACATTTTTCAATTTTCAAAACATTTCGATAACAAAATTATACGTGTTTAGATACTCTTCCCGACTGGTTTCATGCTGCTAATTACCTGCAAGCGGCTAAGTATCTAAAAGCCAACCGTTCTTTACTGACTGTGTACCGTTGGGTCGATCGGGATCCAGAATTATGGCGGTTTCATTCTGATCATGTTTTATTGTCCACAGGCGATCGGAATATGGCATACGGAAAAGCGCCAAAAACAGTTCACACTGGAACACCCTTGGTCAACTTCATCATCAGATGGCCTGGGACAATAGCTGAATAGCCATAAATTAAATACAACCTACAGTAACAGGGTTTCTGCAGCTGACTCTTCATACCGAAGATAATGCATCGCTTAGTAAACCCAAGCCAACTCGAATAACAGAAACCTACTCTCCGACTTTCCGACTCGCAGGGACACAAAGCTGATCACAGCTAACGTCAAACTTCCGAATATTAACATGGAACATTTTGAATGTAAATTAATTTGACTAACGAGAAGCCTCCTTCAGGAATACTATCGTGCTTAAAATCCTAAATTGATTTCTCCCTGCAGTTACACTTAACATTACCTGTACTTATACTTTCTACACAGAACAAAATCAGGTATACAAAATATACTCATATAAACTCTTATATCATGCCATCAATTTGCCAACATTTACAACTCGTTTTGTTCGGGTGTGTTAGAAACTAGGTTAACTGCACCGTGGCTATTCCAGTCTTTCTCATATGTTATATTAATATTATGTCATTCAAGCTGTGACCAACTACAACTAACGACAACGAGCCAAACAGTGAGTAAACGTAATTGCTAACCTGTGCCGAGAGGCTTCTCCTCGAAGGAAACGTCAATCTTTATGCCCAGACTTATTTCTTCCTTTTTCATCTCCTCTTCCATCATTTCGCCGCGGTAACTAACCGCCAAAATTACATGGTCCACGCCGGCCTTCACTAAAGCTTCGATCTGATGGAGCATCATCGGTTTGTTACAGAATTCGACAATTGGTTTCGGCCTGGTTAGAGTCAGCGGCCGAAGCCGCGTTCCGTATCCCCCGACGAGAATCAGAGCCTTCATTTTCTCGCCTGATTCAAACCGACCACCTGCCTACTACTTTGTCAGATGTCGAAGTCACGTTAACACGTCCATTTTAGTTATCGGTCAGATCGCAGCGCGCAATATTGCGTGTTCTATACAGTGTCAGATCGTATCGTTACTTGACAATCTTATGAGTATTATCACTATTAAGGAATTCTATCGTCCAATTAAATATTCACAATCAAAGGTGTGAAAAGCAGAAGAATAATTTTCTGCCAAAATACAGGTCATACTTTTGAAGGCAGGCACTATTAATCAAAAGTATATTAAAGTAACTTTAAGTCAATTTAAAGTGACCATCGCATTTAAAAAAATCTAAATTTCCATCGTACATCACTTGGGTCGCTTTGACGAGAAATCACGACAGCCATAATATGCCAGATACTAATCTCGATTTTGAGTCTTCTCCCTCTAAACAGAGCCTCTTAGGTTCCAAATATAATTTCTACATTTTCATGGTGGATGTCCAAGTAGCTTAGTCCGCCCGAGAGGATACCGGTTGATGATCATCGCCCACCGCTTCCCGTCGCTGAGACGAGTTACATTTCTGATCCAGTGTAGCCCCTTCCTTGTGCTTTCGACGACATCGTCCATCACTCCAGTATGCTGTCCTATCAACGCGTCTCCACTGCTGTCTGGACGTGACATATCCAACATTTCTACGGTTCACTTGGTGACAGATTGCTGGTGTTTCTCGGCTTTAGTGACTGACCACGTTGCACAGATATATGTCTGGCAAGACAGCAAAAATGAAAAACAAAGGTTGGAAACTTTTTCCTGATGATATCTAGTAGAATGTCCTTAATGGAGTGGAGCACACGCCAATCAATACTCCTTCTTCGGTCAGTCCGTTTAGCCTGAGTTCTGCATGTTGATCTCAGGGTTCAAGCAAATGCATTTACAAAACTTAATTATCGTTTTATCATGTTTTATCCGTCTTCTTCTCCCGTCCTGTCTCGTACATACAAGAGTATCACAAGCTCTCTTTGATCTTACCTTCATTAATCGGTTTAAAGTTTCTTCTGTCCTCAGTGTTTCATAGTTATAGCTGCAAACGGGTGGGGAAGTCAAGTCTATTTATTAGATGACGGCCTTTCATCTCGGAATTTTAGCCGCTTATC